GTCTCAGTGTTTGATCTCGAGGATGGAGGGGTTATGGTCCAGGATGGCGAGGATGATCTTGTCCATGTACTGCCGCAGCCGGAAGTTGATCTCCTCCTGCTCCTTGAGGGCTTCCATGAGCTGATGGTAATGGGAGAGGCGGTCAGAGGCCGGCCTGGGCGGAGCCAGGTGCCCAGGCTCACAGGGAGCCAGTGCCCAAGGACAGAGCTCAGGAGACCCAGGCAAGGCAGCCCCAAGACCAACCTCAGCACTCGGTGCCAGGACACGAGTCTAAAGCCCGGCTCGACTCACACCCAAGGAGAGTGAACCATGCAGATACCCAGGCCCACCCCCAGAGACCCTGATTTGACTGGTCTGTGCAGGGGCCCAGGTTTGGGTAAGTTTTTGGTAAAAGCTGAGAACACTGGCCAAAGGCATTTATAATCAAGACGGACACCCAAAACCCCAGGACCCTAAGACTTGTAAGGCTGTTTCCTCAGCCTGGAATGGCCCCCTCGCCACCCCAGGCCCTGCCACTGCCCCTGCCCCTCTCCAGGTCCATTCCTGACAGTCCTTTGGGATGTCACTGAAACGCTGCATCTCCCCGGCTCACCTGGGAGCTCTCTGAGGCCAGGGGTCCCAGCACAGGGTAAGGGGTTCAATGACTGTCTTAGATTCATGTTTAAATGTAACCGGAGTATTTGGAGAGAGACCCGAGCTTTTATAACCGTAACCCCGTGGGGCAGGAAGAGGGGACTTTGGGTCCCTCCCCCTCCACAGGCTCAGTGATCCTGTGTCCTGGCCTCCCAGTCTGTTCAGACAGCCCCCGAGTTGTCAGAAGATGAAGTGAGGGCATACTGCCAGCAGGTGCTCCAGAAGTGGCTTGGAGGAGGGGAGTGACAGACCCTCTGGGCTACGTGTTAATGAAATCAACTGGCCATTTCAGCACATTTGTGGCTGAGCTAAGACTCAAGCTCCAAACCGGAGCTCCTCCCACCACCTGCGGGAAATCAGAGCTGATGAAACCCTCCCGCAGCTCTGCCCTCACTCAGGGTCGTTGCAGATGGGGCCTCCCCGGGGCCAGGCCTGGTCTGCTTTCCCTGCTCTGGGCAGCCTGGGGCTCGACGTTGCAACAGGTGGGGATGGGGCAGGGCTAGAGGAGGACCGGCCCCGAAGTGAGAGCAGGAGAGAACGGGCACGCTACCTCATCGCGTGAGGCCGTGTCGATTTCCGAAGCCAAGGACTGTGCTTTGGTCTGGGTGGCAAAGAGGTTCTTTGCTTCGTAGAGGCTGAGGCTCAAGATCTGCCCATTCAAGTCGTCATTCTGATCCCTCAGCTTATGATTCTCCTGTGAGGAGGATGAAGGCACGATCAGCTCCCGGAAGCATCCAGAACCCACCTGTCTGCATCCACTGTCACCTGACTCCCACCAGTACCCTCCCCTCAGGTGGGTGTCATGAAAGGACCCCATAGATGATGTGGCCGCTGCCAGGCTTGGGTGGGGGGAAAGGGCTGGGTCCTGGGAGGTCAAGGGGTTCTTAGAAGTCACAGCCCTGCTCGGGGAGCCTGGTTTCAGGTCACCCCTTCCTCCCTGGGGGTGCATGAGCCAGAATGGAGCCCC